ACCCTGGGCCAGCTTCCAGGGCTTGTTGAATAAGAGCCTCAGGGAAAACCTCACTTCGGACAGCAGACGCACGCGGGCACGGGCAGGACCAAACGCGGTGCCACGCAGTGTCAAGATTGCCACATCTACTACACGCTGAGTTAAATTTGAAACCCCACCTCGCGAGGGCCTCGCCCGTCGGGAGGGTTCCACAAAACAACTGCTTCACTCTGAGCTTTTCTACAAGCGTGAGCCCGAGCTTGGTGGAGTTCATCCTCTGCTTGATGAGCTCCCACCACAGTCCTCGGGTCTCAAGGTCCTGTGTGTCACAATTGTTCTTCTCACAAACTCCCCGAACGTATTTCTGGATGTACGTATCTTTCAGCTGGGTGGCAAATCTTCTGGATACCAGGGCAGGGCTGACCTCTGTGAAATTGAGGGTGTCCCCGATGGAGTCCTGGAAAACCCCTGGGCTAACCATCTTCCATCCAGCCTCCTCGCACCAGAGTAAGGCATCGGTTATTGGTCCTCTAGAGCGAAAGAACCAATTTTTCCCTTTTGTCTCCTCAATGTGGCGGGCGGCTGAGTGCAAGGCTTTGCTGAGCAGGGCGGGCTTCAGCACATCCTTGTGGGCGTGCTCGTGCTTGTGGAAGGCCGTAGTCATCCACCATTCTGCTGCGATCCTAGTTATGCTCCTGCTCGCTATGTCGATCGGGTCCAGATATGTCGATAGAGCCCAACCGAGGTCCACTTGTGCCCCCTTGAAGAGTACCCCAGAGTCTTTTCCAGCAGAGGTCCTGATCTCCTTGATCTGGTGTGGGCTAAACGCATGGACTTCAGCGCCGTACGTTAGTGTGGCTTTCAAGTTGGTCTGGAATAACCTGTTCCTGTGTCCTGACTTGATCTTGAGCCTGGTCATCCTACACCTTCGAGCCCCGTACTTGATCCACCTCTTGGTTCGAGTCCTTCTGGTGCCCCTCCTGAGTCTATGTTGGCCTCCCGAGAAGTCCACGCCTAAGTTCGTGACGTCCCCGTCATCAGGAGCTCCAGCGAGGTCCCCGAGAGCCGCGCGACCCAGCCTGAGTAGTGGCCCCGACGACGCAGCGATGCCAAACTTGTGGTAGGCGAGCGGGAGCTGCAAATCATTTACTAAATATGAACGGACCGATTCAGCCAACTCTTTGAGTGCCCCCACCACCCACCCCATGCAATCTCCCCACTGTTGGAGAGTGAGGTCGTCAACGTGGAGGGAGAGGGATGCACTATCAGACATATTTGTGGTGAATCGGTCCACACCTGGCTTGAGGAAGACCTTTGCCTCATAGGTAGCCGTCGTGGATCCTGCTACAATCCCACGGCCTGGGTACAGTGCTGCGTCCATTAGACCTTCCAGCATAAGATGCCTTGGCCATTGGTAGGTCCCTATGGCGAACTGCAGCAAATAGAGAGGATACTTGCAATACTGGGCAGATCGAACCAAAATATCATAGGTCACATGTTCGTAAAACTGCTTGATATCCCACAGGACCGGCAGAGAGAAACCTCCTGAGTTCCCTTGGTGCTCAGCAATGACAGCCTGCCTCCAGACGGTGTCCGAGGGGGACCTTCTTGGAGCCATCGAGAACCCAACATCCATCCCATACTTGGTTTCCCAGTCCTTGGCTGCTTGTTTCTGGATCTTCCCGAAAACACGAACAAAGCCTCCGAAGTGCCCAAGAGGTCGCCTGGCCGTCGGGTCAGGCTTGGGTGCTAGCAGTACCACCAGCCTTTGAACTTGAGCTGGGGCCGCGCACGTCACCTGCATCAATTGGAAAATGAGCGACACCACGAGCAGGCCGTCATCGCAGAGGAGCGAGAGGTGCTTCGGGTGCCAGCCGTCTGGCGTGCATGTGGAGTCCTTGAAACATCGTGCACTCCCGCGAATGGTGTCCACCTGAGCACGCTTCCCTACTGGTATTCCGCCTTGGACAAACTCGAAACGGGCACGCGGTTGATCTGATGCCGACCAGACTTTCTTCCAGAGCACTCTTTGGTTCTCAAGGCGGGCCCGAATAGAGATACTGTGGAGGAGCTCCTTGACCTCGGTCTCCGTGGGCTCCCCTGGTGGTCTCATGTGGGCTTTGGGGACTTCAACCCCCTTGAGGAACCTGTGAGCCTCCCGAGCCCCATGCTCCTCAACCGCCTGTTGGCACCATTCCTTCCATCCTGCCCAATCGAGCTGGTCCCCAGACAAGAACACGCAGTTTTTGAAATCCTTGACAAACTGGATCATATCAGTGATGAGGTTGTTGGCCCCCTCTGGGTCCACCATGAGGATGACTCCCAAGCAGCGTAAAACTGGGTGCCAAAAAACGCTCCCATCTTTCCAAGCAGATCTAAAGGGGCCTCCATGGGATGAAATATTGACCAGCTGCATGACCAGGGTCCCCAGGTACGCGTCTTTTCCTGGTGTTTTGCCCTGGTTCCGAAGGCTGCTGATCTCGGTTAGTCTGCCCAATACCCATCCTATGGCACGAGGTGGCTGGGGGAAGGACCGCGTCCTGGTGGCCAAAACTGCAGATAGAGGCTTCACATCCCACTCCATGGGGTAGCCGCCATGCACTCCTGTCGGGCTGGTACCTGTGACTTGCTTGAGCTCCTGCCAAGCCAATTTGTTCCACATTGCGTATGTTTCGTTGAGAGTCTGTATACCTTTATCCCTGAGATCCCCTTCAATAGTGACATGTTCAGCATCAACCCCTCCAATATGTTCATAGAAATCTTCAAGGACTCCTAGGACCACGTTGTAGTTCGGGTGCTCCTGTTGAGGGCCTATGAGGGGCTTTGTTGGGATCTTCTGGTAAGCCTTGGGGACCTGGATGGTGATGTCCTGGGTGTCTGTGCCAAGCTGGAGGACCACGGGCCTGTGGGGCTTGAGGGTAGTGTCCAGGTCTGTGTCTACAGTCACCACTGAGGGGTCTGCGTTCTGACCTTTCCCAGATCCAGCAAAATGTTTGGACGGGGTGCCTGTGCCAATCCTTTGAGACGGGCATCCGTGTAGGTCATGTGCTGCCAGGTTCGAGGAGCACCTGGCAGCTGCGTTCTGATTTGGCCCAAATCCAGCAAAAGGTTTGGACGGGAGGCCCGCCTGGAGTTGAGGCGGGCCATCGTATGTACCCGATGGGGTAGGCGCACTCGATGTCGTCGGCCCTGCTGGTGTGGAGGTCGAGAGCCCAGTCGATCCACATGTGGTAATTGGCGACGACGATCGTGGCGGCCGAGTCCCCTCCAGCGGAAAGCCCACCCGAGGACTCGCTCCGACGTAGTCGGGGTCACTCTGGGTCTGGGCTTGCTTCGCCTTCGTCGGGTTTCTCGGCCTGGTCCACGGCCATGACAAGGTCCCTGGCGTAGGTGGAGTTGCACTTGTAGTACTCCATGTGGGCTGGGTGCTGTGACTTCCAGGGGCTGAATCCCTGCGCACCCAGCCCTGAACGTCCACACTTCGGCTAAAGGCCCTGTCGTGTGGCCTGTGACTCAGCAGCAAGTTGTAGTCCTCGATCTCCAGCAATCTTCTCGCGGATGTTCTTGATGGGGTTGGTGGAAGAGCCCGACTTCGTAGTGGCAGGCTTTTGTTCGTCACATTGTTCAGGATGCGCTGGTTGGCGGGCCCCTGCATGGCCACCAGCTGTTGATGTGCCTTCGTCCACCTTTCGCTTCTTCCCTTCCAACCTCTTAACGTGCTCCCGATGTGCATCTTTGGCCTTGGTGGCCTGCTCCAGCGCTCCCTTGAAAATCTTGGCAAGGTGGGTCTGGATATTATCAGAGGCCTCTGCCTTGCGGCGTTCGAGCTCTTTGATGTCTTGTTCATCCAATTCGTAGGAGGCCACCACATCTGAGATTCCCAGGAAGTCGTCCATCGTGAACACGTCCTTGAGGTCCACCTTTCCTTCGACCACTTCCCTGATACTGACTTGGGCAGGGCGCGATGGTTCTTCAGGCTGCTGCCTCCCCACCGAGGTCTGGATCTCAGCCAGCGCATTGGTGACCTCCTCGTCAGCCTCGTGCAGTTGCTTGGCCATGTTGGCGATGTGCTCCTCCAGGTCCAGTGTGGCTGCTCTCCAACGCTCGAGCTTCTCGTACTCGCTGTGGAGCTTCTTCTCGAGCTGTGCTTGGAGAGCTTCTGCTTTCTGCCACCTTTGCCTGGCGGTAGGTGCCGAGGGAGCAGGCGGACCACGGGTAGCCAAGGCATGATAGCGTTTAGCCCCTTCCACATCACCTGCTTCCTCCGCCAGCTGCGCCAGGTTCTTAGCCTTGTCCACGTCCATGTTCGGAAGGGGGCCTGGAGGTAGTGCTCCGTCTTGCCGTTCATCGCGACCTTTGCCTTTGCCTTTCTTGCCCTTGCCAGCATTGTCTTGTTTGCCAGTCCCGCTTGTGTCTGCACCAGACCGTGCAGGGGTGGTCTTCTTGGTGAGGCTTGACCCACAATGCTTGCAGCACAGGGATCCCCAGGTGTTCTTGCTGCACCCACAGGACAGGCAAGTGACCATCTTGAGCTTGTTCCCACTAGAAGTGTACCAGTCTCCTTCGTCTTTGCCTGGGGGAGCGGGCTGTTGATGCTCTCTCCACGGATATGTCCCACCCCAGCGCCTTGCACGACGGCTCCAGCGAGCAGGAGGCCAATCCACATACTGCGAAGCGCGGCCGCCCTCCTGGGCCATGAGCTGCCCTCGCGGGCGCGTGGGCTGGGCTCTGAGGTGGCCCCTGCCCGAGAGGATCAAAATTTGCGAAATAGAACCTCGTCTGGCCAGGCAAACGAGGGGCGAAAAGGTGGGGGCCGCTGCTCCCCCTTGCCAGTGAGGCCAGGTCCTGTGCCAAAACGGCTCCGGACTTGAGCCAAAATGGCTACGGACCTCCTCCTCCTCCTCCTCCTCCCCCTCCTCCTCCCCCTCCTCCTCAGTTCTCCTCCTCCTCCCCCTCCTTCTGGAGGGGCAGCCAGGGGGGGTGATGGTGGGCGCCGCGGCGAGCGGCGGGGTTCCCCGCGC